GGGGTATTTTATGATTAGGTCATCTAAACAGAAATCCAAATAAAAAATGAAAACACTGTTCTGGGTGCTTTGTTAGAAAATAATTTTTCTTGGAAATATATAGATGGCACTGTAAGGTAGGAAAAAAATTCTTTCCCTCTACTCATCTTGGGTTCATTGTCTCAGATCTTGCAAATTAGGTGAACAAAGACATGTTAGCAAGAGAAAAACAGAAGTTTGTTAACATGTACATCTCAGATACACACGGGAGTGCTCAGTGTTGAGGAACTCAAAGTGGTGGTTAGAACTTGGGTTTATGTAACATCTTAATCAAAAAAATACATTTTTTTGAGTGGTGACAAGGTAAAGGGGAAAAAAACTGGCAAATATATGCAGATAAGGAAGATAAAGGCTAAACTTTGCTGTGTAGATTCTTCTGGTGCCACCTCTGGACTGGTAAGGAGCTAGAGTTAATCTCTAATGATTAACTTTTGTCCTTCCTGGTAAAGAAAAGAGAGGGAACCCCTTTACAAATGTATGTCCTCTATTTAGACAAATAGGGAGAAGGGAGACAGCTTTTCTTATATCTGATTTTTCTCAGTTACCTTCAGCTCAAAATAATCCTTATCCCAAAAAGGCATATTTTAGGATGGCACATTCTGCCACCCTACAACACAAATGGGACTAATGCATGGAATTTTCAAATTATTGCCTTTTTCCCGCCCCATGTCTTATTTGTTAAACACCTCTACATATTCATTTGTTGTACATCAAACAAAAATTCAAGACTGTGACTCATGTGAAAATATGACCCTAGGGATGTGAAATATAAAAGTATTATTCAGAATTTTTAAAAGAATTTTCTTCATGGAGAAATCTGATAATGAAAACTGTGGGCAAGATAAAAAAGTGAGCTAGGCAGAAGGATATGTTAACAAGAGACTGTCTTCTAGTCGAATCTAGCAAGGCAGAAAGCATACTTGGCAACAGCAATTTGTTTATGGCTCAAAGGAGTTCAAGAATTGCCTTTAACAGCTGATTGCTACCTAGAAGGGAGGTAATTCTGGTCTGAATGCTTTATCTTTTGTAATGTTCTTGTCTTTAGTGTCATAGCAATTAGGTTAGCACCAGAGAAACCTATTAATCATATCTGTAACTGCTAAATTGCATAAGTGTGTCGATTTGGAATCTTGGGGTGAAAATAGAAGATTAATGAGCTGACCAGAGTTCAGTGTGATAATTCAAGAACTAAATATCTGGTGCCTGTCTTGTTTTACAGAATTGATAATATGGATTTTGTTCACTCTAAACTCTACCTTAATATCAAGTAGAAAATGAGGTGGGAGATTAGTTCAGAAATAGGAAGATAAAAAAGAGATTAAAGGAATATTAAACCAAACAACACCCAATCAACATATTTTTTCATTGGTATAGACTAAAATTAATAATGGCTTAATGTGTTATAGGAACTGCAGAAGTCTTCCCTTCCGCATTCACTGCAGCGAATTTGATGAGTCTCCCAGGGAAGACTGGCCTCTGTATCTGCAACTTGACTGCTTTCATGTGGTACCTGCATGTCACTTGGATTCTGAGTCTTTATTAATCCTAGTCAGGTGCAGGCTACAGAGTCCAAAATCAACTTTGGTGGTTCAGCTCTCAGGAAGGTTTTAATAATTCTTTCACACCCTGGTTTCCCAGTGCTAATGACTAAGCCTGGCTTTGATATGTTTTATAGTGCCAAAAAATACCAACTCCTTAGTTAGGAAACTGTTAAACAGAAGAGAAAAAGAAAATTTCTGACAGTAAGAAGACGCTAGCCTAATTTATTATAGCTGGAATTGTTGAGATTTTTCTGACTGCATAGCTCTTCAAATGTATAGATATCTTTAAGAGTATATAGTTTGGAGGGATTTTTGTTGTTGTTACAGTTTTGTAGGTATTTTTTCTTCTACCTCAGCTGGCTTCTGTAAGAGAAATTCTATTATAATATAACCAAAGCAAATACTGGTGTAATGTCTAAGGATAACAACATCTTTTTATTTCCTTGAACCAAAAGGCTATTCTATTTCATTGGAAAAACAGTTCATATGAAGTAGTGCACTCATGGGGAACTTAATATAGATTAAAAAATTAAAAAAAAAAGAAAAGAAAACCTGCAGAAAAGTTTGTGGTTTAGTGAAACCCTCAGAACATTTACCAACATTTTTGACATTTTAACCATAACAAAACTTTAAAAAACCTTTTGTTTAGAGGAAATCACTCATAACATGGTTAAAAAAAAAGACAGAGAAAAATAGCCTGCTGCCTCCAGCATTCTCAAATCTTTACATAAATCAAATATTACTCGGCAGTCAAGTGATAGAAAGGTAAAATATGAATATTAATATTTATTTACAAAATCTTTAAGAATACATAAAGTTGGATGTTCCCTTTGCACATTTCTATGTACTGAAAAGGGAGAGATCAGATTAATTAAAGTACTTGTAAAAGCTAACACTGGGTCAAAACAAGCAAAAAAACCCCACGAATAACTAAAAATCCTTCTTTTTCCTGAATAGTGAAATTGATCTGCTATTTATGTTTGTGACAGAATTAAGTGGATATGTATTTCTGTTCAAAACTTTGGCTTGCATATTTAAGCACAAGTCATGACATTTATGATAATTAAATACAGAGTGAATATATAAGAAACAGTACTAGCATTCTGCTCTACATCTTTGGTCAAAAATTATATATTCCTTTGGGAGCATGAGCTCTTGATATATTTGGAGAATTAAGAAACCAAGTTATGATTTTATGTCAATCTTTTGCAAAGTTCAAGCCACAAATTATTACATGCATCAAATAACAAGTAGTGTTTTCCATTTTAATATAGCTAGTAGGTAAGAGTTAAAATTTGAACCCACATTTCTCTGACTGCAGATTCTTACCTTAACTTGTGCATCTGTACTGCCCAGCAGTGTGGCTCAGTGATGGTACCCCTTTTCTTTTATTAGCCTCCTTTTTGTTTGCAAGGTTTTAAATTTATGGAGCTTATGAGAATGAGTTATTTTGTAATATATTTGAAATTTATTTGTAATTTGCAAGTACGTTTTTTTAGGTTAATTAAATTATTTGATAATTGTTTATTATACATTGTTAGCTAATGATACGGTCGTAACATTTATCTTTGTTCTTTAAAGTACATTATCTCTGGTTCTGATAGAGTTTGTGAAGACTCGTTTGAGAAAATGGAATTCTTGAAAGTTATGCTGCAGATAATTGAGGAGACATTAAAATGAGCCCATATGTAAGAATATTCTAGTAACTTTGTATGAGGTGTATTGCTATAGAAAGACAGAAGTGTCAGGCAAGCTGGCACACTAATTCAGAACTCAAAGTCTGCATCCAGAATAATTCTCCTAAACCAATTACTCGTCTAGAAAGCAAATAATTTGTGCACACTTGAAAAAAATGAATCTTACCTTATTATTTAGTGAAGACTGAATATCATAAAGGTCATATATATATATATATATATATATACCTAGTACATGTCTCCCTTTTTTGTGATTTCTCCGTTCTTAAAGGTAGATTATATCATTAGGGCTTCAGAAAATTGCTAAAGGAGGAGGATGAGGCAGTGCTCATTATGGGTTTATTAAAACATGGTTCCATCATTAAACACAAATACTTTGCAATTATTTTATTAAACTATACTAGTTTCCATACCTGGGATGATTATACTCAGATAGTGAATGGGAACCAAAAAAATCACTGCAATATTCACATGAAGGCAAAAATTTAGCTTTCTTGATCTCAAAGAACATTCTATAGAAATGAAAAAACAAAGACCCCTGATTATTAGCCTTAGATATAGCAATGCACATTCATCCACTCAGTTGTAGAGTTGAACTGTTTTGACCTGGGAAAGAAAAATAAGCTAGAATAACATGTTTAGAAAAATTGGAGTCAGCTAATCAATTTTCAGTAACTCTCTGATTTATATGTCTAATAACATGACTGGCAATTTATAGTCCCTATCACTAAATCTCAAAACACAATTTGCTGCAGCCATAAGCAATTTGTTTAGTGTAAATGGCCTTTAATCCCATTGATGATTGATTAATCTATAAATCACAAAAAGAGCCACATGAGCCAGAAAAAAATAATGTCCTAGCTTTCTTATTTATTTTTAATTTTAAATTCTCTATTATTACCAATAAAAAATATGTATCTCCCAAACATTCAAGATAAGAATGTTAATTAATAAAATATGAAAACTCTAGTAATTATTACCATTAAATCATTTTGAAACAAACTCAGCAAAACACACAGAGTTTTTGAGGGTTTAGAAATACTTGAAGACAATTTAATTTCCTTGAAAATTTAGTAGAATTGTGTTTGATTAGGTAGGCCATGAAAAAAAAATCTCATCTTATTTCTTCTCTAGAATCTTAAAGTTTCTTTGTCATTTTGGTAGGAGGTGATCAATTTAAAAATATTTCTGAGGAAAATAAAACACAAAGTAGGACATTTATTTAGAAATATGAAAGGTGGTCATTTATATATTTAGTGACAACATTTAATGATTTGTCAGTTTATTATATTTAAAGGAGAAGGCAACTAAAAACGCAGTGTGACTAAAAGAGAAAAAGAATACATTTGACTGACTCTATTTCCTTCCATAGGGATGTAAAGCACATAGTCAAAACAAAATGTACATGGGGTTTTATTATGGTCTTGATGAATGAGCTTGTAGGTAAAGATGGTTTTTGGAGGATTGACCATGACAAAATATATTCATCAACTTTCTATACATATTGAAAATTCCATAAACTTGGCACTATCTTACTTAGAGTAATCTGCCTAGATGATTTACCTTCCCTTCTTATACTCCAGTACAGAACTGGATCAAAGTTATTTCCAACTTTACTCAACTTAAGGAAAAAAAAAATTTGTGTGAAACATGACTTCTCAATTTTTGTCAATTTCAGTGTTCAACACCAATGTTTACATTCATCTTTTTTCTCCCCATCAAGGTGGCCTCAAGCTAACGTTGGACTTTCAAGGATACTTAAAACCTGGTGAGTTTGGTTATCATACTTCTTCTTATGCTGAAAGCAGGTTGGAAAGAAATTTGATTTTGTTGCTTCCTGTTAGAATGTTTCAAAATAGTCTGATGTCAAATGGTAGAAATTGATTTTGATTGAGTTCTGGGCTCAGCTTGCCTTGGCATACTTTTACAGGGTTGTGTTCACTCTCATTCTAATCTTTCCGGTGAGCAGACTGCTAAGGCATTATTCATGCATGTCATAGGGAGTTGGTAGTTCCATTTAGTTATTTACTGGCTTGGTTGCTTTTTTGTTGAAGCCTGAATAAAGTGACAGGAATCTTTTTTATTCGAGATTGTTCTTGGCATAGCAAATGCAAAATATTCAGCTAAAATAAATACCCGTGAGAGTCATATATGCCATTAAGGACTTGGATTCAAAGGGAATGCTTAAGTTAGACTTGAATAAAGAGAAAAAGAGGATTTCATTTTTTACCAGTTGCTGAAGTTGGCAGATGTAATTGTTTTCTCAGATGCATTCTCTTTACTATCTGTAGGTTGTCAGTATAGGAGGGGAAAGAGGAGGGAAGGGTTTAGTCCCCTCCTCAACCCCCATCATCCACCCCCTGTATCTAAAACCTACACATCAGTGAGAGGTCATGGGCTTCACTGGGGACCTTGGGAAGCACACAGAGCTTTAGAGATTTCCATCTCTACCCTTCCCTCCTCTCCTCTCCTTTCTCTTCCTCATAGTTGGTAAAATACATTTTACTGGGTAATTGTTCACTGGTTTCTTTTCTCTTCATGTGCTTTTAAAAAAGAGAAACAGAATATTATTTTCCAGCAGGTGGTGACAGATTTTCAACAAGACAATGTGCAAACTGACAAGATAGAAAAGTTTTTTTCGTTTTCTTTCTTTTCTTTTTGGCCTTCAGAATCAAGACTTTGAGCCTTTTGTGAATATATTAGGTTAGCTGGCAGAACACTGTATCAAGGACGCCAAACCCCTGTAAAGACCTAGTCTATAACCTCTAATCTTACAGACATGAACTCTATTATTTCCCATTAAAATTAGAGGTTACCAAATTGTAACAGATGTCCTTAATAGACACGTCTTTATTACTGGGGAACATTAGGTAAATGAAAATTGAACCCCATATTTTAAGTTGCAGCTCATGAAAATACAAAGCTCTATGGCTGGATCTGGCATTTTAAGTCTAAATTATAGATGCCTTTATACAATTTGCATTAATTGATGCATCAGCAATTTTTCTAAATCACAGCAAGTATGAAATAGTGGAAATTAAAAAAAAATTGAATCCTAGTTACTCTAAGCAAACTACAATATTTGACATCCCCCAATTCATAGAGACTATACAGTGCACTTCAATAGCAAGAATATTTTAATTAAATGCTAAGAGAATAGGGCTGAGGGTGGAAATCTTCCAATAAACCTATAATGAAGACAAGCTGAGGGATGAATAACTTGATAATAAAAGAGCTTTATGACTATGTGTTATTGCAGATGTCTGAGTATTTTAAAGTAGATTAAGATGATCTTTATGTATAGGACAGTTAAGCTACAAACACACACAAAAAATGGACAAAAATAAGAGATAAAAAAAAAAGTGCCATAAGTGGCTTTGCTTAAGTCATTGAAATTAGATATCATGTCACCATGAAATTACTCCCCTTGACACACTTAATTAAATTTAAATATATCAATATTCTATATTGATAAAATTCCAGTATTGTAACTGAGCAGAACTGTGGGGCCTACCCAGGACAGACCCCTCCCCCCATATCCTCTGCTTTAGCTCCTCTCTGAAGTACCCAGATAACAGTATCCGATACACTTCCTGAGTTGTTTTACAGATGCTAATGTGTAAGCAAATGGAAGACCTTAACTACCTGATGACCATGAGCATATAGCACCACCCACCCTACGGGAACCTAAGGACTGATCATGTTAACCCCTGTGACACTGTCCTGTTACCTCATCATCAGCCAGTTAGAGAACTGTGCGTGAACCCTGTGAACCCCGCTCTCACCTGGCCTTTAAAAATGCTTTCCTGAAATCCGCAAGGGAGTTTGGGTGTCTTGACAGTTAGCTGTCCTGGACTCCTTACTTGGCACCCTGTAATAAATGCTGTACTTTCCTTCACCACAACCTGGTCAGCAGATTGACATTACTGTGCATGAGTGAGCAGACCCAAGTTTGGTTCATTAACAGTATCATGTTAGAAGTTTTAATTTCACAGTTCAGTTTTCCTCTGTTTAACAAACTGCTTAAAAAAATAACTGAATGTAGAAAATTTATCGTGGTGCCTCCTTATAGGTGGATATAACATTTAAAGAGATGAAAAGTATTTAGTGCATATGAACAAGAAGAAATGATTTTTAAATACATATTTTTTCTCACATTTATAACTCTTTGTGAAAGGAAAGCTACTATATTTCTGCTATTTTTTCTATTAGTAATAGTATTTCTATGATATTTAATATAACCAGAAAGACAGCATGTATAGATTTTTAAAAAGTTGTTTTCCCAATTCTAGAAGTGGCAATGGCAATTCTGGGTCAATCTGGAGAAAATGTGTGGACTGCATATAAGTGGGAAAGTTTGACAGTAAAACCATGCAATAAAAACCACAGAAGGGTTTCCAGTCCAGCATGTAAAGAATTTGGAAATTGTCACTCTATTCTAACAACAAGTAAAAAGCTGACCAAACTGAAAAATCAATTCTTCTTGGATGTGTCAGAGAAGTGATATCACAGGGCAAACCGCTGTCCCCATAATTGGAAAGGCAGACAGGCAAGGACAGAGAATCACAACTTTTCAGAGGAGAAACTTCCATGAAAAGTGCCAGGGTAGGAAAACCTGAACTGTAATTGACAAATCGTGGAGGCTCAGTGTAAACAAGTCTAGAGATAAAAACTCCAGGGGGAGCTTTGTCATCAGGGTAAAACTCACTTTTGTGAGATTTACCTCCAGGAGTCCTACCAGGTTCTCACAGTGGACAATAGAGAAAAATCCCATTGTGCTTCCAGTAGGAGGAGGAGAAAAAGAACCATTTTGAAATATGTCAGAGCATTCTGTTCTTAACAAGGCGTGCACTCAAGAGAAACTATTTTATCAGAGCCTAAACTACTGGGATTTTGTCGGAAGCCAACTGACCTGAGGAAAGGGAAATACTCAACACCAGCTCTCCTGAGCAATCCTGTTCCACCCAAGGGAGGGGGAACTGAGATGCATGAGGCACAGGCTGACTATGGCACTGAGGTGAGACCTAATCACAGGACTACAGAGCACTTCCCCTCCCCCACACTTTACAACTACGTTACTACAGGTCAACTTACAGTAGTTCCTTTCACCCAGTGTATCATATCTGGTTGATATGAAAAATTTACAGGGCATATAAAAGGTAAAAAATACAGCTTGAAGAGGCAGAGAAAACATCAGAATCAGACTCAGATATGGCAGGGATGTTGGAGTTAACAGACCAGGGATTTAAAACAACTGTAATTAATTGTTAATGGCTCAAATGGATAAAGTAGACAACATACAAGAATAGATGAAAATGTAAGTAGAGACAAGGAAGTTCTAAGAAAGAATGAAAAAGAAATACTACAGGTAAAGAACCCTGTAACAGAAATTAAGAATGCCTTTGATAAACTCATTATTAGACTGACACAGCTGAGGAAAGATTCTCTGAGCTTCAGTGTATGTCAATAGAAGCTTCCAGAAGAAAAGCAAAGAGAAAAAAGACTAAGAAAAAAAAAAAAACCCAGAATATAATATCTCAGAACTGTAGGACAAATATAAAAGGTGTAACATATACTGTGATGGATAATTTTATGGGTCAACTTGACTAGATCATCAAGAGACCAGATATTTGGCTAAACATTATTTCTGGATATGTCTATGAACATGCTCCTGGATGAAACTGGCATTTGAATCAGTAGACTGAATGAATCAGATTGCCCTCCGAGGGCCTGAACAGAACGAAATGTTGGTGGAAGGGAGAATTTCCTCTTTGTGCCTGACTGCTTGATCTGGGACGTAGTCTCTGGAATGAGAACTGAATCATCAGCTCCCCTGGTTCTAAGAGTGCCTGTGTGTGTGTGTGTGTGTGTGTGTGTGTGTGTGTGTGTGTGTGTGTGTGTGTGTGTGTGTGTGTGTGTGTGTGTGTGTGTGTGTATGTATGTGTGTGTGTGTATATATATATATATAAAATTTGATCTGTTTTTCTGAGGAACCTTGACTAATACATATGCACAATGGAAATACCAGAAGGAGAAGAAAGAGAAAAAAGAAGAGGAGAAATATTTGAAATAACCTGGCTACACTTTTATACTTTTGTTTTTCAAATTCTCCTTTGAACCAGTCTTAATATCTTACTGGGTCCCTCGTTAATTAACGAGCTGAATAAAATTTTTGACACATTCATTTTATATTTGCATGAGAGTTACATTTTAAACTGTTTGAAGTATTTTTAAAGCATGTTCAGTTGGAAATGTAATTCCTGCCAAAACCTAGTATAATTTATGAAGCCCTGTTTGTTATGTCACAGTCCAAGGGTGAGAAAAGCTTTCCCTGTTACATATAGGGAGCCACATTTTTTCAAGTTCCTATTATAGGTAATAAACCAAAAGCATAATGACAATAGCTAAGTTGTACTGAGTACTTACTGTGAACAGTCACATATTTTATATAATGTGTCTTATCGAGTCTTTGCACAATCCTATGAGGTGGTGCTAATTTTAGTCCCATTTTAGAGATAATAACTATAATTGATTATGATAATGGTGATGATGATGGCGATAGCAAATAACATTCTGAGGTCTTATTTAATTTCCACAACAATCTCATTAGGTTGATACAATTACTTTTCCAGTTAACAGATGAGACAACTGAAGCATAGAGAGAATGAGTAACTTGTCTCTGGTCAGGCAGATGTGTGGTTCTGGAACCCATTCCTAGGTGAATCCATGTTCTTTCCGTGGATGGCACTTCTTACCTGGAATAGATAC